ATCTTAAATAAAATGATAATTTTATCAAATTAATTTTTTAAATATAATAAATTTAATATTTCTTTAAATATTTATAGTTAAGAGTAAGAAAAAAATAAAAAATTTAATAGTAAATCATTTTTTGATTTTTTCAATTGAACAAGTAAAATTTGATATTTATTTTTAGTATAATAAACAAGTAAAAATGATAATCTATTTTTAAGTATGCAATGGACAAGTGAAAATGAATCCAAAGAGTAATTCAAAAAAAATAGTAAAACATCTTAATATATCAATTGATTAACTATTTGAGTTTTCATCTAATTCACGAGAGTGTTTTTATCATACAATCTTCTCCACCACCACCCCCCCCTCACACCCCCTACCCCTAGTCTCTCTGACATAGAGGAGGAGCCAAGATAAAGAGTTTAAGATTCTAAATTTACTTTAGAATCGTTAATCAATTTTATTAGAGGTTCATAAATTAATATACATATATATATTTAATTAACTTTTTAGTATAAATACAAAATTTACAAAAAAATTACTGAGTTCGTCTGAATCTACAAACCCCTATCTAACTCCATCTTAGGTATCAATTTTTGAAGTTACAAAAAAATGTGTTTTAGTAGTTTGCGAAAAAACCCATGAGTGGGAAATCAAAAGAAGACGGAAGAGAGTGAGGCGAAGCTGAATAAGATAAACGGGACACGTGTTTAGCCTTTGAAAATAAAGGGTCACGTTATTTATCGTGCTTCCATAACTGCAACCTTTTTAACCTTGCTCCTTCCACTAAATTCACGCTTACTAAAAAGTTTTTTAAAAATAAATAAATTACGCTTACTAAAAAGTTATTATTAATTAAATAATTTATTTCCATTCCATATGAACCCGTTGTGACCAATGATTAATGAAATAATTCAAACGAAGCTAATTATAAAATCAAATTACTTTATCACCAAGGTGGTAGTAATAAAATGAGGATTTAAGGTAAGATTATGCAAAATAGAAAGCATTTAATTTATATTATGTACTATAGTTATAGTTTAAATTGTAATTCACAGCTACAGTTTCTTCAATTTCTGTCATTCGCCTGATTTTTATAAATTCAGAGTTTATATAATTTGATTCATGATTGTATAAATTGAAAATTTTGTATATGCTTACTCTAACTATTTGTAAACGATTTATGAAAAATTCATAACAAATTATCATATTGATATATTGGCAAGCGAAATATACAAGCAGAGTTCTGAAAAATTCTCAAATGTATAAATACAGAATTTATAGATATTTATCATATTTGTATATTTGCAAATAAAATATACAAATGGCCAGAAATACATATATTGTAGCCTCCATAGCAAATAAAACTATAACTATAAATTGCAATTATTGAAACTATAATTATAAAACCTTAGTATATTTATTATATTTGTTATTTCTAAAATTTTCTCCAATATTTAATTTAGTTTTCTTGGGGGCTGGAATTGGTAGACTTTTGGTGGTAGTGGAATTCGTTTGACTAACTAGGTTCTATACCTATTAAAAAGGATTTTTTATAATATAGTATAGAAAAAGAAAATACAAGTCAATTGTAGATGCTCAAGGTGGAGTATTCAATTGGAAGTCATCTTAACTCGAAATGCTTTCCTATTAATCAATATACTTTAAATTGGAATTTGGATGATAAATGTGTTATCATTTTTATTATGTGGAGTATCAATTAATAGGATCCGGCTCATCTCCATTTCTCTTCTCTTCATTTTCCCCAAGTTCTAACTTAGATTGGAGACACATGTCAGAATTTAGAATTAATGGTTGAGATCTAATTGATTAAAACAAAGTCCTAACCATAGTTATTTACTTTCATATATTTGCTTCTTAAATATTTTTGCAGTCCATTATATTTTCCCTAAATATATTAAAAACTTTTCTTTACTGCCCTGCATATATATTTAAAACTTACTAAATACTTTTACTTTTTTGAAAAAAATTATAATACAGTTAAATATTTTTATTGTTCTAATAGAGTTTTAGGAGCTACGGTGTCTATAGAGTAATATGGACTCCATTTAGGGAGTAAGAAAGAATTTTAAGTTGTTTGACAAATTTATTTTACTCCTAAAATTAAAAAAAAACACTAGGTCACAATTTTTAATTTTTTATTTGGCAAATATTATTTGTGAAATGGCAAACATTAGGTAAAAAAGTAAAAAATCAGCAAAAAATTACTTAAGTAATTAAGAAAAGAAATTCTTTTAAATACATTTAGGAAAAATATAATGTAAATCTAGAATTGTTGGATTGCAAAAATATTTAAGAAGCAAATATATGGAAGTAAATAACTATGGTTAGGACTTTGTTTTAATCAATTAGAACTCAACCATTAATTTTAAACTATGATATGTGTCTTCAATCAAAGCTAGAACTTGGGAAAAATGGAGAGAAGAGAAATGGAGAGGAACCGAATCCAACTAGTACTTATTATAGAAAATCTATTTATATCATATGATTGTCTAAATATGTTTTCACTATCAATAATATATAACTTAAATTTTAATTAAAAATATTATTATAAGAAAATGTCTAATTAAAGTACAACGTGCTTAGGACACCACACTAGACCAAGAGCTAGCTATTACTTGATTCTGTTTAACCTTTTTAACGCTCTGCCGCATGATTTCTCAAAACTCAAATGAAAGAAATATTGCCAGAAATATTACTTCCTCAATTTCAATTTATTTATTCTATTTTAATTTGACAAAAAATTTAAGAAGATAAAATTAAAATTAAATCTTATCATTATGAACTAAAAATGTGTTAAATATATTTAAATGTTTTAAAATTTAATTTATTATGAACTTAAAAGAAAAATAAAACAGATAAATAGGGTCAGAGAGTGTCTAGATATATATATACACACACTATCTCTATTCCAACAAATAAAACACTTTTTTTTATAATTCTAAAAATAGTGACATATTTTTATATTTAGTAATAATCAACTTTAAAATATCTATTTTATTTTTAATAAAATAAATTATAATCACATAAATATTTATGACTTATTTTAAATTACAAGTTTCAATTTTTTTCTTTCTTAAACATAATGCTCCGTCTAACACCTTTACAAAAATTGAGACAAGGGAGAACTGACTAAATTAATTTCAACTACTATTCATTTGTTTTTATTTATGTTAATTACTTTCTCCCCATCTATTCTTTTGTCTTATTATTCTTTTTAGTTTGTTACAAAATGAATACTCCATCTCTTTTCTTTTTGATAACTTGTTAATTTCAACTTTCAACCTGTCATAGGTAAAACTACAAATTAAATGACATTTTGATATGTTCTACATATTTTAGTTTAAGACAAGATCCAAAAAATCTTCTTTACTTACTTCAATTTTATGTCAAATCAAAATAGACAAAAAAAAAAAAAGTAATTACTTTAAATAAATTAAAATAGTATTGAACGCGGTGAGGTATAGTAGCTATAAATATATAGAGATTCTTGAGTTCCATTCTCCAAAATTAACACAAGTCACATATTATAGGAATAGGAGTAGTCAACTTTCTTTTGTGCTCTTTTTATTATTGTACTACAATTAGTATTTGAATATATGGGTGCAGGAAACTCACCATGTGCTTCATGTAAGCTGCTGAGACGCCGTTGCGCCAAGGACTGCATATTTTCTCCTTACTTCCCTTGTGATGATCCTCACAAATTTGCCATTGTTCATAAGGTCTTTGGCGCCAGCAATATCAGCAAAATGTTACAGGTAAGTCGATATTAACGATGCTTGTTGTTAAATTAGATCTTAATTAAGCCTAACTCACGCCCCAAAAGTTAGCTCAAAGGGAAGAAGATTGTCCAAGTTTTATTGGGAGCTCATCCATCTCATTAACAATCAATGTGAGACTTTTGTCATTCTTTAACACTCACCTCACGCCCAGAGTTTAGCATCTAGTTTGATTTTTTTTTTGGGCCCCAACATTAGGTGAGATGAGCCTGCTCTGATACTTGTAATGGACTAAATTTGGTCCGACGAACTCTTCTTAACAATGAGGTTGAAGAGTTAAGTAGAATAAGGTTGAGATGAAGTGTCAAAATGAAAATTCGGGGCGCACAAGTTAGAGGGGTTGTCTATATATGTATTTGACCTATCTTAATTAAATTGCAACATACACATATGGTTACACATTTGTACATGGTATTAGAGCAGATAAAGGTTTTGAAATCGAATCTCACCACTATCTGTTTCCAACTGTTTGAAAATATAATTAACTAATAAAAATGAGATTTTCTAACGGCTTTCTCTCAGGAGGTTCCGGTGAATGAAAGAGCGGATGCAGTGAGCAGTTTAGTGTATGAAGCAAATGCAAGAATGAGAGACCCTGTATATGGCTGTGTGGGTGCAATATCCTATTTGCAGAACCAGGTCACCCAGTTGCAAATGCAGCTAGCAATGGCTCAAGCTGAAATACTTTGCATCCAAATGCAATCTGAGCCACCACAAGCAGCAGCAGCAGCAGCTTTTCCCATGACACCAGATAATCAATTAGTACCAAATGATCATGACATTGACAAATCCTTTTTTCTCTCAGATCAGTACCTCAACTTTGACTCTACCTCCCATAAATGTTGTAATTCTCAAGATGGACTCTTTCTTTGGAGATAATCAAAACAAAATCTCACTTTTAGTATGCTGCTTCATTAATAGTTTTTTTTTTTTTTATCACTTAGAATTTATGTTGGTGAAAATACATATACTGTTGTTGAAAATAAAACAAATATAATTAAATATTCAGGTTGAGACACATATATCTCATTTCTCCTAAAGAGATTCAAGCTTAATGCTATAACCTATATCGATCCAACAATATATTGTTGACTTGTTTCTTTCCTAATATAACAACCTAACAACATCGTATAACTCAAACAACTTTAGATTAGTTAAATAGTCAAAGTTCCACCAATACAACACCTTTATTCAATATAAAATTACTCTCTTTTGTGTAGTGAATTAGTTTGAAGACTTATAACTTTCTTTGTCTCGAGACTCTCGACTCTCTCAGTCACTACACTAACCTATAATACATTTCATCTACTCTTTTTCCATCTATTACAACACAAAGGAAAAAACATCCTTTATCTATAGTTGTAGAATTTTTTCTAGAAGTAATTAAATGTCAAGAAAGTGGATAGTTATTTTGAGGAATAGTGAGACAATTAGTAGAAAATAATGAGAAAACAGATCATTGTGATTATAATGAATTACAAAAAATAATAACACCACTCTATATTTACTAATTATCACTTTAATATTTTAATTTTATTATTTAAATGCACTTAGACATCAACATTTATATATTTACCCCCATTATAATATTGTACTTTTGTCTTTTTTCCCTCTTGTTTTGTCATGAGGAATAGTATTAGACAATGAAGGGTTTTGTTTTGTTTCTTTTAATCATCATGTGAGGGGATAGTATGATCAAGATAATGTACTATTATAGTTGAGTTAATTAAAAAATAGATTTAATTTGCCTGTTGAGTACTTGATAATTAAGTCAACCAAGCATGTGGGAGGTGCAAAATATTATAAACTATAGTATATAATATTCCTAAACATTATTCTTATTACTATGTCAGATTTGATTATTCAACCAATTGTGCAATGGGCAAGGGACGGTGCCCATACATGACAAGAGATAAAAATTGGACGCTCCTCAGCAACATCAACAAATTAAAATAATTTCCCCATAAACATAGTTTTTTTTTTTCTATTATTTATTTCTCTGAATAGAAGTTTGATATTTATACCAACAAGCACCTAAAAGTAAGCACAATTAGCCTCTTGTTTGACACTCGGATTGTGAGAAACAACAACAACAGACCTAATGGAATCCACATATGAGGTCTGGAGAAGGTAGAACGTACGCATATCATACTCCTACTCCGTGGAGGTAAGGAGAGTATTTCCGGAGGAAAAAAATATATGACCTCTAAAGCCTCTCCCTGATACATAGAAATTTTGGAAGAACTTGATTAGGTTACTATTTTCCCTCATTGCTTTAAAATATTATTTCCTCTGTCCCAATTCATATGACGTCTTTTGAATTTCGAGATTTAAATAAATCTATTTTTGACTCGTTAATTCACAAGGGAGGGATCGTGGAAACGTCAACTTAACGACGAATTCAAACTTATATATAACAGTGACATTTTAATATTAATTAATTAAGGTCTATTTGACAGCCTCATTAATTATTATGTGGTGAATCAGGTTATTGGTTAAGGTGGACAACTGATCTATAATAATTTAGAGAAAAAAGAGTCCTAATTAATTAGCTTTGTTTTGTATTATATGGAAGGATGCATGTCCCACACCAAGGTCAAACTTTTTTTGTTTTCTACAATCACTATCAAAGCATCCTTTTGTATAATTTTTATTTATATTATCATGCTTTTAAGGCCACTTTGAGTTAGGTAGTTTTTGTACCGGATGAAATATTTTCTACAGCAGCAAAAATAGTGGTATCATATCCATATGCATATGCCAGATGATTCAAGTAATTATCACTCTATTTGGGCATTTCAAAGATGTTAAACTCATTATTATGAAATAAATAATCTAATGCTTTGAAAAATACGCTTTTGTTGTTAGAATGAACAATTCAGGTGATAGAGTTTTACTACTCTAGTAGAGTACTGGAAGAAACTATGAATCTGACTATTAATAAGAATAGAGTATCCAAATCATATGAGTAACTCCTTCATCAAAGCTCATACGATTCAACACATTTACTGAGAAGCTTCAATTCACACTGTCATAAGTTTTAACCATATCTAGTTTAATAACAACATTTGCATGCTTTCTCCTCTTTCTGATATCTGTAACGATCTCTTGTGTCAATAACACATTTTGTGAAATACTCTTTCCCTTCACAAATCCTAACTGATTCTAGGAAATCAGTCTAGGTAATAAGCTTTCCAACTACAAAACATATGCTAATCAATTGAAGTGAAGTCTTAATCAGACCACCACACAAGTTTAAATATTACAAATTTTAAGTATAATTACATACGGATGGATACAACGAATGTAAATTTCTGCATAGATTATTATTACCATGATATATCCTTCTACCTTTAGAGAAAAATTTCTCGTAAAATTCCTTACAAAATTGAAAAAAAGATAATGGCAACTTATAAAAACACCTACACAAGAATAAATACTTGAGTAGTGATGGAATAAATTATAAATGTATATTATAAGATATTTTTGTTAAATCCAGTAGCCCAAGCTTAGATCGAAGCTTTCGAGATTCACCATTAATGGTGCGAGACTGACTTCATCGATAGAGCATAAGAGAAAAGAAGAGATTTGGAAACTGATTTCTTATTTCTGAAAACTGATTTAGAATGAGTACAGAGTATCTATTTATAGAATCAGACTAACAACATCTATTCTAACTAATATGAATCAATACAAGTAACAATTAAATATCTAACTAACTAACTTGCAGCTTAACTAATTCATAACCGACTTTCGGACTTGTATCTTGTATCTTTAGCTTTAATAGACCTTCTAAATTATGCATTTCTTCTTTGACTACTATCAAAGTAACGGCCTTATCACTACAAAAAAATTATTTTATTGAAAATTACTTATCGTACTTAAGGTCATAGGCGATTAAAGTCGAGTAGCTTACCAATAACTTAAATTTCATTATTTTATCTTTTTCTATGTTTTTTTGCCATTCCCTACTATTCTTTTATGTATTCAAAAGAAAAATCATTTTTCCCCGAAATTAGTTTTTTACTTTAGAGATAGCCCCTCCTTTCTACCTTTCTAACAGTTTCAGGTTATTCTCTTTCTGTGTAGGGGTCCATCTCTTTGGACTGATTGCAAACAATGCACACGAAATTGCAGGTTTGCCTCACTTTTTGTTGCTACTTATCTCTAATTTAGTGAATTAGTTAACTATGCTAATGTTATTACCTTGTTTAAATTTCATTTTACTGTGTTTAGATTTTAACTTTGGGGCATTCTAACAGATGAACATGACATTTTTCTGCATGCATTGCCTCATGGTTGTAAGCTTTTTTTGATGAATCCAAAAAAAGTAACTTTCATTTTGTTGTGTGGTCGAATGACACGTAAGCAAGCATCAGAATTGAAGGTGTGAGTGAGCCCTACTTGAAGCTTTGACCTTCTTCAATGGAGTCTTGAGTTGAGAGAGTTTATGATTTGATTTAGTGTGTTGAGTTAGAATGACTTAGGTTAATGGGGTTGGGGTCTTATAGTTGGGTTTAGTTAGGTAATTAACTCACTAACCAACCCCCTTAACCCCTAGTTAAATAACTAACTCGAAAGTCAACTCCCAACTAATAACTAAAAATTTGAAAACTGGCAGCATCTACGTTGGCCATCCACGGACTGTCAATTGATTAATGGTCCGTGGTTTGGTCTCGTGGTTTGGGTCTGGGAGTGTAAATGTTGCAGGTCTCTAAGAACCAAGTCTTGATGCAGGCCTGATCCACGAACCCAATCCACGGGGTGGGGATCAATTGACGGCTCGTCAATGGCCTTCGTAGGCAAAGCTGTTTTTGACAGCTTTTGGCCAAACACTTGGGTCCTCCTCAAGGACCCCTTGGGTAGTCCTTGGGGGTCGTACCCGGACGTTTTGACTTTAAAAACATTATTTTACCTATTTAAAACCTTTTTACAAGATTAGACCATCATACGACACTCCCAAGCCTTCCCAAGGCCTAAGAACACCTACTAGTTCAATTTCACTAGTTTCCGAACGTCATGGTCGTTTCTTGACGTTTAGACTCTTAACTCTTCCAAACTAAGTTAATTACATTAGTTTAGGTCTAGAAACATCATTTTAAATATTTTTAAGTCATTAATCATAAAGTAAGGCTCTAGCTTAGGTCATTGGATTTCCGGGGTGTTTCATGTTATCATTTATAAAAAGGGCATTTATTTCATGACATCTTCTAATTATCATATTAACATGTTTTTGACTTTTGTTTATTAGAAATGTTGTAGTTAAATGTTATTACTAATTGAGTTGGTGATTTACTCCCCACTTTTTTTTGTTGCACAGATCACAGGTGACGTCGACAAGACTTTAGCTATAGTGTACGAGTTGACAAATCTATAGTTCACGGGGATTGCTTTGTGTGGACAAGAAGTTATTTATTTACTACCGCCCTTTTCTTTTGAACTCTTAGAGTCGCTTTGTTAATCATTTCACTAATGTCATGCATAATTTTTCATTATTGGAAACTTGAAATAGTATTAGACTTCTTTTCATATTTGGAGATGGATTTAGTATTATTATATTGTTGATGCATGTTATGGCTTGCTTTTTTTAGCGATATTGGTTGGATATGTTATTGATTTTTGAGACAGGAATTTTTTTTTCTATAGGCCCAAAAAAAGGGGAAACTCTGTCCAATTTTTTGTAAATTTTCATCTAGGCGAGCATCCCACCATTTAACATTGGTCATGATCCTAAATTGAATTGTAACACAAGTGATGCAACTAATGAATGCATATCATCCATGGACATAAGAAGATCATTTGTGTGTAGTAATCTTAAGGAAATCATAAAAATATTTTATAATTGGATTAGATATTATGACAATGTGATTGTGCGGTTTAATAAATATTAGAATGGTTGGAGTGAATATTGTGTTTGAATTTAGTTTGTAAGACTAAAGATAATGGTTTGGGATGATACACTTGTTAAAATGTGGTGAAATTATATTGTTAAAAGGTATTTTTTAATTTTTTTATGACGTATTTATGTTAATTATAATAGTTGCTAAATGGCACAAATTGATTGTGGCTATACTTATTGTGGGAGTTCTACAAACTATCGTAACAATAAGTTGTGGGTATTACTATTCATTGACCTTTTTAGTGCATTATAAAAATTAATGGTTTTCGTTTTTATTTTATTGTAATACAACTTAAAAATATGCATATGACTTTTATTAGCTGCAATTGTTCCAACAGATCTTGATAAACACCTTTTCATTGAGTCCTTTTGCTGGACGTGTAAATGACAAAATATTTGAAAACTTGTTGAGACACTTGATAGTTTTGAAAGATTTATTTGTATTTTCTTAAAATTCAAATTATCTTAATGGTGTTTTAACATTTGATTTTTTTTGTTATGAGATATAGTCTATATCGCTTGTTGCACTGCAATATGGTCTAGTATTTTAGAAAAAAATATTATGCTTGTGTGGTGCTTAGTATATAATCTTTCTCTAAAATATTTTTGTGTTGGTTAAAAGGTTGTTTAAAATTAATGATGTTATAATTTATAACTGTGAATCCTTTCTAGTAGTCCATAATTGCACTATTCCACTTGGAAATTTAGGTTGTAGCCATTTGAACATATATTTTTTTGTGACAATTTTTTTTTGCAACTAAATTGTAGGTTAAATAGAGACAATACTACGATTGTCACTAATTGTTTGAACTATTAGTGACAAAAATTACGGTCACAATTGAATATAAAATTTTGTTGCTAAAGTTTACTATGATTAACTACAAATTCTAGTTCGTCACCTATTGTCAATATATTTTTCTAACAAAGTTTTTCATATCTAAAATCTAACTAATTTTAGGACAAAAAATGATTTGTCACTAATTGAGAATATCATTAATGACAAAATAATGTGTCACCGGTGACTTCAAATTCGTGGCTAATAGTACTCAACAAATGGCGCCAATTTACTTTTTGGTGGGAAACTCAATTGGACAAAACTTCGCCACGAATTTTTGTGTTTCGTCACTAATAATATAAGCCTCATGTATTTAACCACAAAATTTAATTTTTGTCACTAATAGTGAACAATTAGTGACAAATTTCATGCCGTAGCTAAAAACTTTGTAGCTATATATCACATTTGTTGTAGTGACAGCTTCCCCAAGTCTTTTATTTTGAAGATGTCATGCAGAAAGGACTTGAGACTGTTAATCTCAACTAGATCAGTGTCCGTAAGCAGTACATCATCAACATAGACTGCTACAAACACAATAGAAGAATCTGACTTTTTATGGAATAATGAATAATCATTCTAACCTCTGGAATTAAGAGCATCAGTCAACCTTGCATATTGTCTACTTGCTTGTTTTAGACCATATAGAGATCAATTCAGCTTGCAAACTAGGCCAAATCCAACATCCAATCCTTATGGTACATCCATGTAGACCTCCTCATGCAGTTCCCTATGAAGGAATGCATTGTTAACATCTAACTGAAAAATCTCCCAATGTTTCTTAGCTGCAGTGGCCAACAAGCTCCTCAATGTGGTCATTTTCACAACTGGAGAAAATGTTTTAGTGTAATCTACCCCTGCATGTTGTGTATATCCTTTTACCACTAGTCTAGCCTTTTGTATCTCTATACTCACATCTGTTTTATGTTTGATCTTATACACCCACTTGCACCCAATAGGTTTCTTACCAGGAGGTAGAGGAACCAGGTCCCAGGTATGATTCTCTTGTAGTGCATGTTGCTCCCAAGTATACACGCAAGTGTACATGGTCGCGCAAGTAATATAGATTCTTTAAGAAACGAGTTATCGTTCCCAAGGGACTTATGATCAATTTATATTTTAACACTTAAATTCTACAAATAAAAAGTAAAAGTAACCTTATCAAGAATTGATGATTGATTGTTAATTACTACTAATTATGAACTTAAATAAAAGTAACTAATTGTGAACGACTTTAATATTATGTTTCAAGCAAGTAAAAAGCAATTCCAGGGCTGCAGCATATACTGAATATCATGTGGCATACTATTGGCATAAAACTAATTTCAGTAGTCAAGTTACTAGTTTATAGGGTTAATTATATGAGTCGGGCTATACACCTCTCGTCGCCTGCCCCAATTAGCTACCTAACTACATCGTTGAGTGGGGATAAATAGACTAATTGACGAGCATTTATATTTCATCATATTTCGTCACCAAGCGAATTGTTTGTCCGGGCGTCACTCCTGAACACAAATCACCTCGACCTAACGGGTCGATCAAGCTCTCTATATCCTCTAGTCTATCTAACCTCTCCTCTCCTAATTTGGGCCTTGGCGCGTCGCGCCTCTTAGAGTGCCTGAGAGGCCTCTCTAAAATTTGTCCCTTGGCGCCTTGCGCCTAGCAGTGTGCCTGGCCCTGGGGCCTTCATCCTTAGCCGTTTTTCATGCTCTTTACATCTCTTTTCTTCAAGTTGACTCCAATTCCTTTGAGAGTTCCTGAAACAACTAATCATGTGTGTAAGTGCACAATCATCATTAGTTACACCAAACATTAAGCTAAAAACTAGAGATCATCCTTCAATCTAATCGACTCATGGTCAAATATTGACAACTTAGGCATATAAATATGCCTAAGATCACCACTCCACACTTAGAACTTTGTTTGTCCTCAAACAATCTCTAGACTATCAACTCTTTTTCACAACCCTTGTACTTATCAACTCACCTCGAAATCAACCAAACATTTTCAATCATGATCTTATAGTTCACAATGGATGTAGCAATTCACAATATTTACGCCAAGTACAACACATGCTCCGAGAATAATGACCCTTTTATTATTTTTCCGGGCTAATGCAAACTCATACAAACACATCAATTATATAAACTTACACATGCCATGAATGCCCTCACTTGTTCTTGTTTAGTAAAGCCTTTCACTCAAACCACTTGCAATATCAACAAGGCCTATTTTTCAAACATCAACTCACCCTCACAAAAGAAGTTCTTACTTTTCTCAACATACCATAAGCTTGCCAATAGTGTATTATTACTTTCGCACACATTTCTTAAGGAATCAAGAGGACTTTCGTTAGGTTGTAATGTCGGCTTACGGTAAGGGAGGGAATATTTAGGAATCATTTTAGTGACTACACCTCCCTAATGCACATATCATTATTTTGCCAACAATTTTCTTTATAGCTCTTATTTCCTCCTAGTACACCCTTCATGACTATTTACCCTTTTTGTTGCTCCATATTTGCCCTTTATTTCTTTTTCATCATATTTTTTTTTCATGCCTTTGCACTAGCCACCCAAACTCTAGATTTTTAACATCCAGGTAAGGTACACATTATTCTTGATAGGATCAGGGCCAATGTTTCGAGCATAATTATAAATTAGCCACCCTCAACTTTAGTCGAGGTGCACATTGTCGCTAAGGACGAAGGCCAAAATAGAATTTCCTTTTTCACACAATGTAGCAATTCACCCTTAGTTATATCAACCAACATTTTCCAACCCTTCTTCTCAACATGGTGCATTAAGGATTTTTCATAGGATCAAAAGACTTGGTATCAAACAACGGATTTCGGCTTATCATGTGGTTTATCAATAAACAAGGCTAAAGGCTCAATGGGGCTTTACTAGGGATGATTTCAATGGTAGGCATACAAGTAGAGTTAAGAATTGGTTATTTCAAAGAAGCGCCTCAATCACATTCCTTAAGTCATACACGCTACTAATTCAACACACACAGTGCAAGTTCTAGATATAAAGTTAAGAAAGAACCAATCAATTCTCACCACACATGGCATTATGACACATATAAGGATATATCAACCAACATGCTCCTACAACTTGCATTACGGTATCATTACACAATTAAGCCAATTTATTTTTATTTTGAGTCAAAACGAAGAACACATGCTTGTTACAAGTTCAACAATCTATTGCACTTTTCCACTTGTGTGACTACCCATGACGATTGGCTAACTTTTTCGGACATAGTTTCAAAAGACCAAGGTTGGTTTCTCAATCCTACTCTTCTATGTGACTAATTTTCCCTTAAGACGGTCGTCATCCATCCATCATTGGGAACTGTCACTCCTATGACGACTCTAAGACTCAATAAAGCAATAAACCAGTCCTAATCGGTTCAAAGGGACAATCCTCAGTAAAAGTATCGAAAACAAACGCTGAGGAACCCAAAATAAAAAAAAGAAAAAATTTAACTAAAAACTAACACTAGACTCGATCAAACAATAAATAGCTATATACAACAGAGATATATTACCCCACCCCACACTTTAAAATAAGCATTGTCCTCAATGCACAATTAAAGCAAAGTATAGAGTTAGGAATACTCCATCGGGCCTCTAGGCCTCGTCGTCACCGTGATCAAACACCATCAAGGCATTCGCCTCCTCATTTTCCATAGCCTCGTCAGCAGTAACCTCATCATCATCCAAAGGTTCTAAGAATGCGGGACCAGTCCTGCATAAAAATGCTGCACTCTCAGTCAAGGGATAGCGCTCCGCCATGGTCACCATCTTCTCATCCGTAACCGGACGATCACCTATCCGCAGCTGCAATTCCGCCATCCCAAACATTCTGGCTATGACACTATCATTACGGGCTT